CCACAATCAAAAGGGATAAAACACACCTTACACTCTTTATCACCCCAACTGTTTTGAAACGTGCATCGATCGCAGAACCTACTCGATGCATCCTCATCAACATTAACCTCAACTTCAGGCAAACCATCCTCAAGAGACTTGAGAAAGTAATGGAAGTAATTACCAGTGTTGTTAGTACTGGTTTCCACTTTGTGCTTGAAGCAAATGATATCTCCAGCTGAGATGGCTCCATTAATCAACGAATGTAGAGTCTCTTTGTGCTTAAGTAGAACTGTGTTAGCTTCTCCTTGAAGGTGATCAAGGTAAGGCTTCTTCGGGGTTTGGTCCTCGGTCATGAAATAACCAAACAATGAATTCCATTTCAGGAATTGACTGCATTGAACAACAAGCATCGCTGCTTCACTCAAAGCCCTCATGTCTTGCTCACCTAAACCGCAATCCCCGGTTAGCTTCGGAATGATGTTTTCCTCCATGGTTTTCAGATCGGATTTAGCTTTCACCAATGTTTCATCAGTTGCCTCCCAGAGACTCAAGTGAGAAGTTAAAGCGCACACATTCGATGGAACAGTGACTTGTTTACAATTCCATTTTCTATTGTGCTCTTCCTCAGATCGGAAGCACAACCAACAGAAGCTATGACTGATTTACACAAACAAGTAAAGCAAAACATAACCATTAGTTTAAAAGATCTAATCTTTGTTTTTAAAGCATTAGAAAAGAAAAAAAAAACATACCCGCATATACAAGTTATGAGCCTTAAATCAGGATCACCATTCTTCTCGACATTTCTCTTGCAATGAGGACAAGGTTTGGTGTTTTTCTCGATCCAGGCAAGGCTCGTCGCTACACAATGGAGACGATCCAACCAACGGGAAGCATTCTCACAAGTCACGGGTCGGTGTGATTCGAGCTTGCAAGACCAACAAAATGTGTGACCACACAAGCACACCACACCAAAATCACTGGACACATCATCCTCATCTTCTTGATGATCCTCATGACGCTCTATGGCGTACTCGCAGCCTGGTGCAGGACACCATTTGATAGATTCCTTGTTACTTACCATGAAAGATTCAAGAACGTAGCTCTCGTACATCTTCTTCACCGTTTCAGCAAATTTTCCAATCGTATCGGGTCCAACAGACGCAATACAGACAGGGTTAGGGCAAAGGAGAACAACAAGC